CTAGGGATTCGAACTGCCAAACTGCCGACCTTTCTGATCGACAAGCTCAGTGCCTTAAAAAACCGTATTACATACCAGTATTTCTGATAACATAATCAAGCACGACCAGTTTCTCAAACTGGGACTGAAACTGCTTCCTTGTGTTCTCAGGCAAGGGGTCGGTTTCAAATTTCCTGAGCCAATAGTCAGCCTCCTTGTAACCTTCCACGAAAAGCTGAAAGGAGCCGACCTGCGATTTAAAAAAAAAAAAGCCTGCATTTATGAAACAGGCCTGGACGCATAAAGCATTTATAAAGTGCTCTTTCTACGTGAAAGCAAATAAAGATGTTAAAGTCAATGCCCTTCCTAAGTACAGCCGGGAGTTTAATCAATAGATATAAAAATAACATTTATGGGGAAAGAAGATTCCACTGCTAATTGTCAAGTTCAGTTGGCTTGAGAATGCCTTTCAAAATGTATTTTTAATCCGAACCTGCACTTCAAGACTCAAAAGCCCAAAAGTCCTCTGTTGCGTGGTGGGGAATTAGCTCTGGGGCTTTTGCGAAACAGGACTGAGTTTTGTCTATGTTTTCTTGTATTTCTTATTTAAAATAATAATAATAATAATAATAATAATAATAATAATAATAATAATAATAATAATGAAGTGTACTGAGGAAATAAGTCTTCTAGCTTCAAGATTCCTCGGTGGGGTGAAAAAAAAACTTTACTGTCTTTAGTGTTACATCAAGACTTAAAACTTTTCCAATTTTATACATTCCTAATTATTCCTATATCTAGACATCTATATTTCTAAGCTGTGCATTTCATGTTCCTATTATTTATCCATTGATACCAGTTTTCCCCAACTCTATAATATTCTGAGTCTTCCTAATTAGGAATGTATAAAAATGCATTTGAATAACAAATGGTTATGTTAGTACTGTCAAAAAGGATTGTAAAATTATTTTTAAAGGTATTTGTATCTTAATGTTTTAAATTTTCAATAAAGGTTTTTTAAAAAAAGCCTTTAAAACTTTTCCTTATTATTTATACTTTTTATTACTTACAAATTATCCCAGAGCAGGAATAGAAGGAAAGAACAAACACCCCTAAAATTGAAGCGGAGAACTGCCAAGGGTTTACCTTAGGAGGTAGTCCAATGCGGTGAAACTTTTTGCCAACTTTTGGCACTTTTTCCAAAGCGTATTTCTTGCCTCTCGACTTGGCACGATCTATTGCACTGTAGTTGAACGTCTCGCTTACAAACCAGACAACCTTAAACAAAGACAGTGGAATAAGGTTTAACATTTTTGTGGCGACACTGTATTCATTGAATCCACCTCTTTACGAAGCTGTACAGGTAGTCCTTGGCGAACAACGGTTCATTTAGTGACTGGAGTTACAACGGCACTGAAGAAAAGTGACTTATGGCCGTCTTTCACACTTTCAATTTTGGCATCCTCGTGCGATCAAAATTCAGACGCCCGGCAAGTGGTTCGTCGTTATGACCGTTGCAGCGTCCTGGGGTCACGTTATCGACCTTTTGTCTAGCAAAGTCAAGGGGGAAGCCAGATTCACTTAACAACCAGGTTACTAACTTAACAACGGCAGTGATTCACTTAGCAACTGAAAGGTTGCACAATGGGACTAAAGCTCACTTAACAAATGTGTCCCTTACCAGCATAAATGTTAGGCTCAATTGTGGTCGTAAGTCGAGGACTACCTGTATCTTGCCTTTATGCTTTCTAGTAATAAACAAAGATAAAAACGTTCGTCTCCCTCCACTAAGTCATCAACTGCTCAGAAGTCAGAGGAGAATCAACTGAGGCACCTTGGCGACTTCATTTGAGGTGACTTCTGCTACAGTGATTGCTTGCATTCCAGCAACATTTTTATGAGGCCAGTTTCAGAGAATTACAACAACAAAATTGCACGTTGTCAAATTTGCAAGCTGTTGCAAAAAAAGGAGGAGTGAAAAAGTGTACAGGAAGGGAGAAAAGGGGAGTGGCTGGATCCACCCTGAAAGCTGCAGGGTTGAGAGGGATGTCGGCAGCTCTGTCTCTATAGCAGCGTATCGATAAAATATACCCAAAATTCCAATTGGACCCTCAGGCCAAAAAAGGGAAGGGCCCTTCACATAAGCTAATTTTCTGCCTCATGCTGACATCTCCCTCAAATTCCACCAAACTCCCCCCGAGGCCAATATGAGCCAGCCGTCTGCAGTAGCAGCCAAAAAAGCCAACGCAATCCTAAATTGCATGAACAGAGGGATACAATCAAGATTAAGGGAGGTGCTAATACCACTATATAAAGCCTTAGTAAGGCCACACCTAGAGTACTGCATCCAGTTTTGGTCACCACACTATAAAAAGGGGGTTGAGACTCTAGAAAGAGTGCAGAGAAGAGCAACCAGGATGATTGGAGGACTGGAGGCTAAAACATACGTTGGACGTAGCTTGACCCCCTCCTCTCTGTGGCAGCCCCTCAAATATTGGAAGATGCTCTCCTGTCTCCCCTGGTCCTTCTCTTCACTAGACTAACCAGGCCCAGTTCCTGCAACCATCCAGGACGTTGGGGGACTGGAGGCTAAAACATACCTTGGACGGTTGCAGGAACTGGGCCTGGCTAATCTAGGGAAGAGAAGGACCAGGGGAGACATGAGAGCAGGGTTCCAATATTTGAGGGGCTAGCACAGAAAGGAAGGAGTCAACTTATTTCCCAAAGCACCCGAAGGCTAGACAAGGAACAATGGATGGAAACTGGAGATATTCAACCTGGAAATAAGGAGAAATTTCCTGACAGTGAAAACAATCAACCAAGGAGCAGAAGCTGCCTTCAGAAGTGGTGGGAGCTTCATCACTGAAAGCTTTCAAGAAGAGACTGGGCTGCCATTGGTCAGAAATGGTGTAAGGTCTCCTGCTGGGTGGAGGGTTGGGCTAGATGATCTTCATACAAGATCCCTTCCAAGTCCAAAAATTAGTTTTAAAGGTTTTCATTTAACATTTTTTCACAGTTTTGACCAGAAGTTCTTTCCTTCATACTCAATTTATGTTGCAAATCTCTCCTACCTTCGTTTTGGGTACCACTCCCAATCCTAGTTTGCTGTCCACAAGGTAGGCGCCAGCTTCCGAGAGGTATCCCTGATTAGGAACAAGGCAGCCTCTGCCAAAGCAGCAAGGGCAGCAGATCTTGTGGAAATATTTGGTCCATTTCGGATTGAGATGACCGTAAGGCTCTTCAGATTTGGGTTTAAACACGCCAATACTTTTCTAAAGGAGAAGGGGGGGGAGGAAGAACGAATAAGAAATCATAAAGAAAGGAATCAGAAAAATGTGCACTTGTTTGCTAGTCGTACATAGAAATAGTTTATAAAAACATGTATTTTTAATTTTTTCATCCCGCCGTTATTCGTTTTATAAATAACTCAAGGTAGCAAAAAGACCGAATGTTCCATTCTCTTCTTCTCCTCAGCGCAATAACTCTGCGAGGCGAGTTGGGCCAGAATGGGACAACTCGCTGCTGCCAACTTGCTGCAGGACAATTTAACAATTCTGTGTAATTATTTAAAATAAATTAAAAAAATCATTTTGATTTTGCCCTTCACATTTCATTCTGTCCTTCCTTTGGCATCCTTTCTTTAATGATTCCGTACCACCATTTCTTTGATGTTAGTGTAACTCTGGTCCTGCAGAGAGTTGTCCCAAATAGAATAGGAAGAATAGAAATAGGAATAGAATAGAATAGAAAATAGAATAGAAAATGGAATAGAAAATAGAATAGAAAATGGGATAGAAAATGGAATAGAAAATGGAATAGAAAATAGAATACAAAATGGAATAGAAAATGGAATAGAAAATAGAATAGAAAATGGAATAGAAAATAGAATAGAAAATAGAATAGAAAATGGGATAGAAAATGGAATAGAAAATGGAATAGAAAATAGAATACAAAATGGAATAGAAAATGGAATAGAAAATAGAATAGAAAATGGAATAGAAAATAGAATAGAAAATAGAATAGAAAATGGGATAGAAAATGGAATAGAAAATGGAATAGAAAATAGAATAGAAAATAGAATAGGTGAGGTGAGAGAAGTGAGGGGGCCGTGGGCAGTCAGCCACAGCAAATTGTCACAGATCCAACTCTGACCAAGAATGGTTGGCCCAAAGTCACCCAAGTGGGCTTCCCTGCCGAAGGGGGCACCAGAACTCAGCTTCTACATCTCCAAACAACACGGAAGAGAAACCTTGATGGTCTTGGCCAGTGGTTCCCAAACTTGGCAACTTTAAGACTTGTGGACTTCAACTCTCAGAATTCTCCAGCCAGCTCTGCTGGTCTTGGCTCTCTAAAGCTACCTGGTTATCTAAAATTCAATGTCACTACCGCAGGGGGTGTCAAGCTCGATTTCACTGAGCCCCATCGGGGTTGTGTTTGACCTCAGGAGTCCGGGATGGGGGGGGCATGGCCAGTTAGACATCACTCATGTTGAGGGCATCTGTGGAGGCGCGAGGACTTTGCCAGCGAAAAGAGGTTCCCGGGTTCTGTTTTCGGCTGCGACGGCCTCCCGCAACCCTCTGCCAGCGAAAACGGAGTCCGGGGTGTGTGTGTGGCAGGGGCACCGTGGGCCAGTTCTCTGCTATTTCCAGGGCAGCCCCACGGGTCACCTCTAAGCACCCCCAGGCCTTGAGTTTGGAACCCCTGAACTACGGGCAGTCCTTGATGTATGACAGTTCATTCAATGACCTTTCAAAGTTGCAACGGTACTGAAAAAAGGAGGACTGTTTTTCACACTTAGAGGATCATTTCAACATCCCCAAGCTCACACAGTCCAAATTCAGACACTTGGCAACTGACTCACATATGTGTCGGTCGCGGTCTTGGAATCATGGGATCACCACGTGTGACCTTCTGACAAGCAGAATCACTTAGCAACCGTGCAACTCAGTTAACGACTGCAGTGTTTCAGTTAATTCTGAGGTGTTAAAAGTTGTGTAAATTCAAAATACAAGTCGAGCATCAAAATATAAAAGCTTCATATTTTTTTTTGCAACTTCACCTTCCAAAACAGATACACACAGCATTTAAACCGTAGTCACAATAAAGCATCATGTTTTATTTATACAATATCCATTAGCAGAATAAAGAGCGTTCCAAAAATAAAATCAAAAACTCGATACGATGCTGTTGTTGTTTCGGAGCTGCCATTGATTTCGGGTGGAAAGAAAAGAGGACAAGGCGGCTACTGCAAGCCCTGACTTTGAACATGAAGGAGCAATAAAACTAGCAATTTTTTTTGACTCTCACGGCAATGTTTAGTTCAGCTCTGATGAGAGTTTTACTTGCCCTCAAATGCAATCGCTGCATATTTTCCCAATATACTGTAATATTGACTCTAATAGTGTCCCTAAAATTAAGGGCGATGCATATTTTGCAACGTGCAACACTTGGCAAACTAAAATAATAATAATAAAAACTAATGGCCTGAAAAGAAGAGACAACATGGCAAGTCACGATAAACAAGAGCAGGTTCCACTAGTTATGCTATTACAGCATTTATGTTTGAGTGCCAATCGATGCCTGGCGTGGAGCCAGAGGCACAGAAATAAGCCAAGCCTGTATAAAATTCTGAGCCAATTTGTCTTCTTTAATAATGAATGGCCTTAAGAGGGGAAGGTGGAGGCATTGATCTGACATTCAAAATGGGATTGCATGGATACAGGAGGACCACCACTGAATTATCTGCAGTCAGAGTCTTCAAGGCCCAGTTGCTAACACAATGATTGCATTAGCAGTTGGCTTTGGGGCAAACAGCTGCAACATTTGTTTTCATGCCAGGATTCATTATATAGGCAATTATTTCCAATTTTGCTCCCTTATTTCCTCTAACTTTCTTTTGTCTCCTCTGCATCTTCATCTCTGCAGCCATATTCAATTACTGGCCTGGTTCATGTTTACTTCCTGGTAGAGGAGGGAATTACTACAATAATCCTAGGCTGAATAGCAGAGAAATTTCAATATGCTGATATTTTTAATATATTTTTATACATTATTTACAAATAAATAAATAGGCAGAGAAATATGCCAGGAGAAATATCAACAACCTCAGATATGCAGATGATGCCACTCTAATGGCAGAAAGTGAAGAGGAGCTAAAGAGCCTCTTGATGTGGGCGAAGGAGGAGAGTGCAAAAGTTCGCTTGAAACTCAACATTAACAAAATTAAGACCATGGCATCTGGCCTTCTCAATTCCTGGCAAATAGATGGGGAAGAAATGGGGGTAATTAGAAAATTACTGATTTGTTTTTAAACCCTGGAGCATAGATTGAAATACGCCCATCTTACACTTTTGTCTTCTCCCTCCTACCTTCTGTTTTCTATCTTCTATACCACAATTTGGCCCTCCCAATTCCTGGCAAATAGATGGGGAAGAAATGGAGGCAGGGACAGATTTTATCTTCCTGGACTCCCAAGATCACCGCAGATGGGGAGTGCAGCCAAGAAGTTAAAAGAGGCTTGCTCCTGAGGAGGAAAGCGAGACAGCAGACTAAAAAGCAGAGACATCCCCCTGCCAACAAAAGTGTGTCTAGCCAAGGCTGTGGTTTCCCCAGTTG